TGTTAACATATGGCAATATAATAACATAAACTGTATTTCACATAAAAAATTCTTCAAAACAATTTTTCAATATGATTTTTTTTTAAAGTAAGAAAAAACTTTTTTCGTTTAATTTTCATGTTTATTTTAATTTTTCTCTGTAAGAAATTGTGAGCTACGCCACTGTGTCAAGATTCTAAATTAACATAACATTTTATTTTGCTGTGTGAAAATAATTCCTAATTTTTAAGGTGCATAACAAAATGCACTGAGTTTATAAAAGTATAGCAATTAGTTCAGTGATTATTCAGTGAGTAAGAACGTGCGTTGAAAAAAATACAACGCGAGATGCTCGTCAGCTCAAACAAAATGCAGACATCAAAATTTAGATTACTTTAGTTCTTAGTTCTTTAATTTTTTTAGTTTTTTTCGTGATTTTTTCTCCCTTTATACTTCTAACAATGATCAAATATCATTTGTTGTTGCAAAGAGAAAGTCAAATTCATTTTCTCACAAGATTTTTGTTTTAAGAGCTCGCTTTATTTGATGAAGTTAAAAGTAAAATAAAAGGTTGCTCTAATGTTGGAAACAATATTTTTTTATCTTTTTAAGCCAAATATGCTATGGAATTTCCTTCTACATATATTATATAAATTCTATTACTAAGCAGAATATTTTTCAAAATAAAACTTTCGATATTTAAGTTTCACATAAGTACTAAGTATTCATAAAAATGTTAAAATTTGTATTCTGAGTGCGAAAAATGAAATTATTTTTTTTTTAAATTTAGTTTTTGTCAGGTCAGTTTATGTATATATTGACACTTTTGGAAAATGTATTGTAATTGCAAAATCAATAAGAAATATATTATTGGCGAAATACAAAAAAAAATTATGAATTTCCGACATAAATTCTGATTATCTAAAGACTCAGTATGAGGTATACTTTCAACGAATCGTTTTTATGTGGAACGCTGAAATTATATAAGTAGTAAGGAAAGGAAAGTAAATACCAAACTCAAACACACTATGTGTGAGAATAGTAAAAAGCTGTGTAAAAGTACACATTTTCATTTGTATATTTTTTTTTCAATTTTATTAAAATATTGGCTCCCAAAAATAAAACTTCAGTTTGTATTAAACCACGATGCTTATAAAACGATGCTTATACTTGGTGGCAGTTGAATAAAGCAGAAAGAAAAATGTGGATGATTTTCCACACCTTATAATGGAAATGCTCTCGGGAGTTTTTATCAACAAGTCCATAAAGATTAGTGCATATAAACTTGTCTTTTGAGTTGGAGTCCAAAATTATAAAAAAAAGATGTTAAGAAATATAAAAGATTTTACAGACAATAATAAGAAATACATTTGTTCATTTATGCCTTCTACTTATTTGAAAGTATTTAGAAATAATCTCATATTGCAATAAAAACTGAACATTTCCTTGCTAATCTACAGAACTGAGTTTTCCAATCTTCATTTATTAATTTTAAAGCCCTACACCAATTGTGAAAATAATAAATATTTGTGCACGTTATTTACACGTACTAACATGTACCCTAGCAACTATTTTACCCAGTTGGGCTCCAAATTGGCTCATTGGGGGTCCTGCATGAACATCCACCGAGGGACCAATATTGAGATGTCTAAATTTTTTTAATATTGGTCCCATATAAAACCAATATCGGCCTATGTACTGCCAATATAAGGTCTATATCGGTTAAATAATCTAAAATATCGAGTGAGTCTGGAAGCTCTATATAGGGCAAATATTAGAAAATAACGGCCCTTTAAACCATTATTGAGCCAAGATTCGTGAATATTGGTCCAATGGAAACCTAAGTTATTTTGCTGCTAGGGTATATGTACTCATATTATTAATATTACAAATGAAATTTTATGGATCTTTAATGTATGAAATAATTTTTTTCTGTACAGATTGTAGATAATTTCATAATCTTCATAAGACAGATTGAATCTTTTCTTGCTTTTCTTTTTCGTGTAACCTAAGCAAATTTGTATTAGTTACAATTGAAAAAAATCTCCGTGATTACTAGAATGTCCTGAACTTCCGAGTTAATTAAAATTGTGTCGAGTTAATTAAAATTGTGATTCGAGTTAATTAAAAAAATTTATGTGTTTATAATTGCTAGAATGCGACGGAGAACTTAATTGCCTCAAATTTACACCCAGAATAGATTTTTTTTTTTTTTGCACACTGTTATAATATATGATCGCTCGGGGGCTGAATGGTAACGCTTCTCTCTGTCGTGTCACAGGTCATTGGTTCGATCCTCGGGCCGGGCAAGTTTGACTCAGGCTTTTATCCCTTCAGTGGGTCGATTAAATGAGTACCAAGCATGTTTGAGAGCTAAACACTGAGGGTTTGGCGTTGATCCAACAGGAACATCTGCTCTTGCACCCCAGAGCCCGAAGGTCAAGAAAACTGAGATGGGCACACTAGGCCTTGGCTTCCTATAGGCTGTCGCGCCACTGAGTTTAGTTTAATGTATGACAATTCATTTGTTTTCGAGGTAAAAACAAATTGTTGTCGAGGTATGGTTTGTTTTCGAGGTTACTTAAAATGGTTTCGAAGCAAAGACGAGGTTTGGTGAACAAATTAAGCAGTGGGTGTTGCCTCAAACAAGGAGACAAGTAAAAACAGTAACTTTCCTATAAAAACCACAATTCCGAAGAAAAAAAAACAGGAAAAATTTTAAAAAATATTTCCGTTATCATCGAGCAAATGGAAGAGGTTTTCGTGAACTTCCTCTTTGCATAATTAGCTTGAAGGCTTGCTCAAATGCCTTGGAAAAATACTTCTCGAAAACGAGTTTTTTGTAAGTTGCTTAAGTCGAATTCATTGCAAGAATAAATTGGCGAATTTTATTTCATTACGGGTATCAAGGAAATAAGATATATCAATCAAAATATTATTTTTTGTCATAATTCTAATTTTATATCGAGAAACAAAGTTGACTGCGAAGCAATTATGGGTGTCCCTTCGCAAAGTGAGTAAGAATGAACATCCAAGTGTTGTAAATAACCATAAATTTGTGCCTTTTAAAATACTTCTAAGTTTTTTACACTTTATTATTATGTTAAAAGTATTTATTTTCAATTTTGTTTGAAATATGTTGTTTTTTATTATGATAATGTTCACCGGCTGTTATTGTTTTAAGAACGAAGCTATTTAATTATATAATTTAAGTATTTATGAAAATTGCAATAGGAAGATAATTAATCCGCATTTCTATTGTAATTTAAACATTTTCATTATTTTTATAACTTCATAGTATACATGCGTTTTCAGTAAATACACTAACATCCAACAAACCCAAGCAACCAGTTGAAATCATTATCTAACAGATCGCACCACCATGTTTAGTTTGGAAGCCCATGTTTAGTTTTCAAATTTTTAATGTCTAACATTTTTTCAATACCTTATATATATTACGTTTTTTTTATTATAATAATAGTTTTATAATATATATGAGATAAGCATACAAATACAAATTTTTCTTCAGTTGGAACCTCTCAAATTTTTTTGGAACCATGGTCTTATGGGCCTAATTCAGTGTTTTCCAAACTTATGACTTTTACGTACCCTTTCTAAATTTTTAGTAACGCTTTGTACCACTAATAAGAAATTAATGTATTTTTTACTATAAAAAATTGCACAAAAGTTAAAAATTAAATTTGGCTGTTGACACCACTAATTATTAACTGTTAACTCTGCGAAAAATAGCCAAAAGAAAAATACGTAATCGTAAATTTTCATGGCTAGCTTTGTTTTTAAATATAAATTTTTGAAAATTTCTTTTGTTGATATTCCGCATAATAATGCGTACCCCCGCTAAACTGTTCCCGTACCCCTGGGGGTACGCGTACCACACTTTGGGAAACACTGGCCTTAATCTATTGAAACCATGGTCTAACTCAGTTTCTTAAACTGTGTCTCGCGATCCCGATTAGGATCGTTGTCCAAAACTTCCAGCAATTTTCATATTTTTTCAGCTTATAATTAAACTGTTACAATTGGTAAATATTTTTACACAGTGTATCTGAATTTATCCACATAATTTAATTTATTTCCATTATTGTGTTTTATTTTTAAGTTTGTTACTTTTATTTGCAATATTATATATCTTAAAAATTAAAGATAGTAACCTAAAACTGTAATAGTATAGTGCAGGTGTTAGTAACTGACAGTTTCATTCACGCTTGTGTCAGATTTGCGCAATGCTTTCGAGATCCATAATATTATGGATCATATTTTCATAAATATTATGGGGTTCTACGAAAGTTTCGTAAACATTTATGGGGTCCCTACTCCAAAAACTAACTAGTTTAACTAATAACCCAAGATCACCCAAAATCCCATATTTAGCATTCAAATTTTCAACATTAAGAAACTATGTCAATGTCTCATACAAATATTTCTTTTCCATTGTGGTTGCTATAAATAATCATACAAAAACATTTCTAATGCCTTTTCTAATTTAGCAAATTCAGCACCAAAATTTATAGGAGAAAAAAAAAGCATTTACCATTCAAATATTAATGCCTTTATATCAGTTGTTGAATGAAATCCATATGTTTACATAATTCATCAAATACTTCTTTTATGAATTACAATAACAATGTTATCTTTATCAAAATATTCGCTAATTAAATTGCATATGATTCACAATAAAGTTGGTAGGAATGAACTTTGCAAATGCCTTCGATATTCGAATAGAATCTTTTAAAAGTTATTCTATGCCAGATTGAAAAGAAGCAGACAAGATACACGAAATGTCCATTTGGTATCATGCCAATTGGTGCTCAGCCCAAGCATATTGACCACCGGCTTTTACTCTTTGTTTTTTTTTTATAATCAGTATGGGCTTTTTTTCATCATTGGTTTTTAATCGTGCTTGGCTCTCAGCATTGTTGTTGCGCACTAATGCAGTGTTCTTGGAAAAAAAGGAAAAATATTAATAATTTTCTCTGAATGTGCTTCCATGTTGTTTTCAGGACAGGGCAGCCGACGACATGGACATATATAGTTCTTACTCCTATCCACTCATTGATGGCCATTTCACTACTGTAAGTAAGCAGCTACATTGTTTTTTTTTAATTTTTAATTGCTTGCTGCTTGCCATCAATTACCACCAAGGCTTCGTTTTTATGTTATTTTTTTTGTCTTTTTTCACCATTTTATGTTTCGAGAGAGCATGGTGTCTGTTGGGAATGACATTAGTTTCTTTTTCATATCGTTCGTAAATTAATGAAAATGGCTAGAACAAAAATAACGATTTTAATGCTTTAAAAAAAAAAACTTGGTAAATATTCATAAACTTTTTATGAATACTTCATATTTGATTTTAAAAGAAACTTCGAAATAAATATAATTTTTTTTATTTATTGACGTGGAGGATTGTTTCTATTTTATCCTAAAAATTACTTTTAATAAATTCATTTATACGTCATGCATTTTAAAATTGAAAGCATTTTCAATTTTTTTAACTAAACTACTTTAAAATAAAATACTTTTTTACCTTATTTCGACAATTCTTTGGATCACTCAATATTTATTTTCGCGAGCTTTATCGAACGGTCAATCATTTTCAATATCAAATCTTGGTATATTTTTTTAATGAAACGCGTATGAATACGAAATTATCCAAACACGGAATAAGCTTTAGGCTGCGTGTCCTTATTGTTATTAAGAAAGTAAACTTTTAACTCTCTTTACATAACACTTTTATAGCATAAATAAAATAATCTTAAATTTTATATTTTGTAAAACTTAAAACAGTAGCTATACAATATTTTTTATAAGTCAGCTTTTATATTTTCTACAAAACCTCTTGAAAAGTAAGCATTCAAATTGATAAATCTTAACCTATTGAAATTAATACTCTAAAGAAAAAATTTATGCTCTAAATTAATTAATACTCTAAAGAATTACTACTCTAAAAATTAAACTCTAAAAAATTAATACTCTAAAGAATTAATACTCTAAAGAAAGAAAGAAGAATTTTTCAGGAAATTTGTTTGATAATTTTAGAAACGTTAAAAATTCACAACTTTTTGTACTTCATGAAAGGTAATTCGTAGGCAAACAAATTTTTTCTACGGCTGCATATAAGTTGAACAAGTTTTAAAAGCTAGTTTTATCTTGTTTCTTATAGAAAATATAAATTATCCATAAAATATACAGAGCTTAACTTTATTTCATCAAATATAAATGCGTGGCTTTTTTTGATTGACAAATATTATTTGATTGTTTAACTATTTTTTACATATATACATGCAATGTTAAACTATTTTTTGACATTAGATAATTTAAGTACTATCAATAGCTACTGAGGTATAGAAAAATTTAAAGCTAGTTTTAACATATTTTTGAAGAAACTGTCAATGTACTGTTTTCTACGTTTTAACATGGGAAAGTAGATTTATATTTTTGTGTTTTTCAATGAAAAATACTATATCTATACTATAAATTAAAGATTATTAATTACCTAAATCAAGTCTTAATTATTTTTTAAATCTTCATACATGTGAAATCTTTAATTATTTTTTTGTTCAATTCACTTTCTATTAATCATCCCTTTTTCTCCATTCTCTCTCAATTGCTTTATTTCGATTTATTGAATGCACTGATCTGATTTTATGTGGAAGACTTTTTACTTCCTTTTTTCTGTTTAGACAATAGTCTTTTATGTACCTATAGATCATTTAGGTGTTTAGCCTCCTATTTTCTTTTATTGCTCTTCCTTCACGCTGCATTAGTGCGTTTACAGCAATGCTTAACTTTTAGCTCATCTAGATTTAGAAATAATATCTGTTCATATTAGTCATTAGATTTTTATGGTGTTTTAGTTACTAAAAACAATGTCTTGTCTGTTTGCATTTGAAAGAACGTTACTGTTTATTTTGAGGAAACATTTTCCCAAAATAGTTTGTATAACAGTTCAGTTGGCTGGTTCACTAGTTAATTAGATTGAATAATAATTACTAATGATATACAATCATTCACGAACATAACTTCCCTTTTACACGTTGAATGCCACGCTAATTTTAATGGTCTGGCCACACGGTAAATAACTACAAACTAAATTCGCAAATATAGACAGATTTTGCTAGTTTATAAAAGGTTTAGCACGACATATCTGAAAAAAGTGGTGAATTATATATGCCTACGAATTGTTTAAAAATAGTGGTGGATAAAAATCTACTAAATTGAATTTATTAAACCCACAATAATTAAGTAAATTTTGAATAAATTTTCTGCAATTCCATAAAAGAGTGTAGATTTTATAGTTCTATATCATGTTATACGCTGTCAGCCAGCTGTTTTTCGCGGCCTATGTGAAAGGTCAGTGTCAGCAAGCGGTGGCAGACGCAGCCTAAATGTAATTTCAGTGTCAGCCACCGGTGGTTGACGTGGCCTAAATGTAATTTCAGTGTCAGCTACCGGTGGTTGAAGCGGCCTAAATGTAATTTCAGTGTCAGCCACCAGTGGTTGAAGCGGCCTAAATGTAATTTCAGTGCCAGCCACCGGTGGTTGAGCAGCCTAAATGGAAAGTCCAGTGTCAGCCACCGATGGCTGATGCAGTGCTCAACGTGTTAATTGTAATTCTAAAAAGTATTTGGACTAAAAAAATACATATATAAATTGAATTAAAACTTTTTAAATGCATTGTTTCTTTACTCACGGGAAGATGCATTAAAAGCTTTGTCAAACTCAGCACTTTTGTCTACCTAATATTTGTTAATTGCTTATTATGGCTAATTGGAGCAAAAAATAACTTGCAAATGTTGCGCTTACGAATTACGGAATTACGAAAAGTTGCAAAGTAATAAAATGTGGCTATTTTATCGTAATAACAATCACTATCAGAAATAAATTAGCATAGTTTATGTAACGGTTATACATTACTGAATAATGTTTATCGATATTTGTGTAATGAATCATTTAGATAGAAATAATAACGTACCTAATGAATTTTACAAAATTGAAAAATTGAATTCAATATTTGTGAAATTAAATTCATGTAATTTTGCTTTAAAAATTATTTTATTTATTAATCACTTTAACATTTATGATCCAGTTTTGCTTTGCAAAACTAGATCATATGATATTAATATATTTCCCTCCCCCACGTAAAACATAATTATATGGCAGAAGTGACGAAATATTTAAATGCTACCGAAAATTATAATACTTTTTAACTACTCTTAAAGAAAGAGTTTATGGGAAGAAATTGTTGAGTGCCATTATAATCTATATGAGAAAAACAACTGAAAAATGTATATAAAAATGAAGTTGTATAGACCCTTAACAATCTTTTTATTTTCAATAAAACGGTCATAAAAGTGCCGATTTTTTATTAATCAGGAAAATTATACAAAAAAGGTGTGTGTACAATAGATGTATTCATTTTTTGGGGGAGAGGGGGGGATTTTTTTAGATTGAAATTTAAAATTCCATATGTACTCCATATGTCCACGTAACTGTAACTTCACAATGTACACAATATTGAAAAATATTATATCACAGAACACAAACCACATGCATTCACGAAAAACGTGAGTAGCTGAGCTAAGATTACGAAACAATCACTAATACATACTTTTAGATAGCAGTGATATCTAGTTTAATAGTTTAAAATAAACTATCTCCAGTTACATTAAAAAAAGTCTAGTGCAGCCAATCAAGTGTGTAAAATAAGAAATTAAAAAATTCCGGACACAAGAGATGGATAGGTGCATTACTTTTGAACGCTCTAGCCCAGAAATACCACGGGCACGAGAAAAAGGAGACGAAAGCTCACCCCTTGAATTTGGTGGGAGCGAGAGGGGGAAGATGGTAGAAAACGTCTTTTTTCAAGTAACTTAGGTATGAGACCATGCGTGGCAATTTAGGTTGAAAACGTTCAGGTTGACACTGATTATGTTCTTTCCTCATTCAATAGAGTTTCATAGACATTAACATAACTTAACTTTTGTAAAAATAATTCTTATCACATTAATAATAACACTATTATATAATAGACAGAAATTTTAAATTTTATTTGGAACTAAAATTACAATAAATCTTTTCTCTCAGCTTTAAAAAAAACTATTTAAACTTGCGTTGTAGTGAAGCACAAAGATACAGTTACAATTAAAACTCTTTAGCTAATCGGAAAGTCTTTATTTTAATAAATTCTGTTTTTAGTGATCAGAAAATGATTATAATTTATTGCGTCATTCAAAGTTGAGCTTCAGTTTAAATTTAATTCCTCTATTTCTTCTTAAATTGATCTGAATTTCCATTGGCGCTAAATTCACATTTTGATAATATCAATATGAATTTTACTTGTAGTGGTCAGAAAGTGATAGGAGCTTATATTATCAGCATAGATCTTCAGTTAACATTTGAGCGCGCTAGCCGGTCATAAAGTGGTCAGAATTTTGTTTAATGATATATTCGAATTCGTGATGAAATGACGATAAATTCTACGTACATTTATCGTCAAACATTTAAACTCTGGTAGCTCAGGGGAAAAAGCACTCTCCTCCCAATGAGGTGACCCAGGTTCAAAACACAACTGGTTGATACGAATTCTGCACACAACACGCACCAACCACAGTGCTGACGTGAAATATCCTCAGTGATAGACAAATCATGGGTTAGAATTTCCTTATCGTCGCGTTAACCGTAAAAGGTTCTGTGCTTTTCCTCCCCATGTAATACAAATGGGGGTTAGTTCCATCAAAAAATCTTCCGCGAACTTTAGTTTGTCCCAATGTTTGATTCAAAAGTTCCTTTGTCTTCCGGGTAGGTTTAAAGTTACTAGGCTACTGAGTCGTACAATGAAAGCAGTAAACTCAAATTTGGGTCGGCTTCAGCGCCGGTTATAAAAATTAAAACATTTAATCCCTAATCAGGGGTCTGTTTAGAAGAAATTTGGGTCCGTTAACGGACCCTTCACAAAATATCTTTTCATAAAAACGGACCCTTCACAAAATATTTTAACTTAAAAACGGATCCTTCACAAATTTTTTTATCTTTATTATTGTTTTGGTAATCGAATAAACCCTTCCCAGGAAGG